GAACAAATGCAGGATATTATGATTGGGTGATTGTGAAATTAAAGCAGGATGTGGTATGTCAAATGTGAATGAGCTTATGTGTGAGATTTGAGCTCCAGAGTTGTTATTGTTGAATGCTATTACTTGAAAGCATGAATGGTTTCGCCCAGTTTTCTATGATTGAATCAATCTTTGTTTTGCATCAGTGATCAAGGCCTTTGGTTGAAAACCTTTTTAAATTGGCCAAATTCATCAAGTTAGCCACTAAAAGAGAACACTTTTGTGTTCAAATCCTTTTTGAAACCCCTTAGCCTTGAATTACACTGAAACCTTTTGATTTGAAAAATCTTTACCTTGGGTAAGTAGAAGATCTTGTGTGGTATGTTAAATGTTCAATTTTGGGGTTGTTGGGAAAACAATGAAAAGCATGAGCTAAGAGCTAAAAAGTAGAATGTGCAAAGAAAAAGAAAAGAAAGAAAAAGAATAAAGCCAATGCAAGGCAAAAGAAAGTTTGGGAAATGAAAAGATGATTTTGTTTGTTATGAATTCTCTAACTCAAGATTTTGTGATCCATAAAAACCAATTTTCTTGTTAGCCCGCCACATTATAGCCATAGAAAGTCCTGTGATGATGCAATGCTTGTGAATGTTTTGATTGTGGTAAAATGAAAGGCAAGTTTAATTCATGGTAACATTGTGATAGTAGAGTGAATGAGTGATCATCTCTTATACACTTGAGTGTGAGTGAAACACTTGACTTAGTGAGGAAATATCCACATGAACACATGCACATCCATGCTTAATTATTGATCATTCATGAAAATAGCATTGTGGAATTTAAATGACTTTGTGAACACTAAACATGTGCACATCCTTGATTGAACTCTTGGGTCATAATTTTTGAGTGAATTTTTGCTTATCTTTGAAAAGAAGATTTTTGAATGAGTGAATCAATCCCATATGAATTGGTTAAAGATGGAGTTACATATTATTTGTGCTTGAGGACAAGCAAAGTTTTTAAGATTGGGGTTGTATAACAGTTTTTGAAAAACTGTTATTTTCAGGATAAATTGACACTAAAAGAAACCTTTACACTTAGAAACTAGCTTGAAATCATGCTTTTCTTTATATTTTTGGAAATAAGAGAGATGGACAGGTTTATGCTTGATTTCAGTGTTTTTTTGTTGCAGGTTTTTAAAGGTGAAGTTGGTGAAATAAGTGAAGAAAGAGAGAGATGTATCAGAAAAGACAATAAAAAGTGCAAAGGATAAGCCGAATCACCGCTCAGCGTCAGTTTTAACTACCGTTGAGGGCAACTTCAGGAGCTTGCGGGAGGTCCGCTGAAGGGCAACATGGCGCTGAGGGGAGAAAACAAGTCACGCATTTCATTCCCGCTGAGCGGTATTTTACCGCTGAGCGGGCATCTCTGGAAATCCGTAAGGTCCGCGGAGGGGCAAAATGCCGCTGAGGGGAGAAACAATCACGCATTCACCGCTGAGGCCGTATTTTACCGCTGAGCGGCACTTTAATGGGGCTTGAACTTGAACTTTTTGTAAGTTATACGAATGATACATAAGCTTTAAGGGTTTCCTAGGTAGGTATCTCTGCTTGGGGAACGAAGAAAGCAACTCTCTCCTTCACCTCCTTTGAAGGAGGATTTGGATGCTGATGCCTTTCTCTCACCTTTTAGGGTTTAATTCTTTCCATTGTAATTCACTTAGGTTCACGCATGAATATTTGTGAACTAAAACTCTGTATGTTTTGGTTGGGGAAATCAATGTAGTCTTGTGAACTCTCATATATGGAATCTGTTTTTTACAGATCTTTAATTAGACTTATGCTTTCTTTTTCACTCATTATATTAGTTAGGTTTTTCCTCTTTGCTTATGCTTTGCATTGTTTCCTCATTCGATGCATGATACTTGGTTTTGTCGATACGGGCACGTACGGAAGTCCTAGATCCGGGAATTCTCCCAATTTTATATGGTTGTCGTTAAGAGCCTCCTGTACTTATGACTGTCATTACGAATGCTAGGAATTGTATGACTCGTGATTAGGGAGACGCCTTCGGAAAGGTACATTAGAAGAGTGGCATTAACATGATGATTTGAGATTTTGAATTCCTTAAAATATATGAGAGTGGTAAGAATGAAAATTGAAAACCCCAACAACATATTCATATCTATATTTCATTGAAAGTGTTTTATCCTTTGATTTTTGCCATTGATCAAATTCATGCATACATGTTTATTTTCTGTCTTGCATTTTAAACCCCGAATTTTTCGTTTGTAAGTCTTGTTTAATCAGAACCACAATAACTAAACTAGGCCGTGAGTCCTTTGGGAAGAACGATACTTGGGTCTAGCAAGTTTTTTATTACTTGAAGCGTCGGTCATACTGCCGATTGAAAACAAGTTTGTGACATCATAATTTGGTGTTCATAAATTTTGTCCATCAATCGAACACAATCAATAATCATGCAATTGATGATTTAAACAAACATGCATAAAGTATAGAGAAAAAACCCTAACAATTCATAAGTAAAGCATATATAATCAAAACATTTCAATCCATGAGAGTTTCAAAGGATTAACTCATTTCCCCAACAACAATGGAGGTTAGTTCACCATAAAAACTGGTGACACTAGATGAAAATAATGAAAGAATGAAATAGAACCTAAAAGTTGAAGATCGGAGCTCCGCATTCCAAAATCCGCCTCCAAGGGTTTGGAAGAATGTAAAACCCCATAACATTGAAAAATGTTATTTCATGCTTAAAATTGACACAAAAAGCAAAAAACCCCTTTTTTTTTTACACTTAGAAACTACTAGAAATCATTCTTTTAATCATATTTTTCAGAAATACGAGATCTGACGGTTTATTATGCTTGATTTCAGTGTTTTGTGTTTCCAGGTTTTAGGTGAATTTTGGTGAAAGAATTGAAGAAGGAGAGAGAGAAATCAGAAAAGACAACAAAAGTGCAAAAGGAGAAGCCCGCAGTACCCGCTCAGCGGCAGTTTAAAAAACCGCTGAGCGACACTCAGGAACACGGGAGGTCTGTTGAGGGGCAAAATGCCGCTGAGGGGAAGAAACTACTCACGCATCTTACCGCTGAGGGCACTTACCGCTGGCGGCACACTTTGGGCTTGGGCCTGTTTTTCTTTTCTATATTTTAGAATAGTAATATAAGCTTTAGGACGTCCTAGGGTTTGGGGTTATCTCTTTGGCAGAAACGAAGGCAACACTCCTCTTCGCACCCCCTTTGAAGGAGGATCTTGGATGCGAGGCTACCTCTTCCACCTTCTAGGGTTTTATCTTTCCATTCTTTCATTATTGTTCATCTAGGTTTCACCATGAATATATGGTGAACTAAACCCTTGTATGTTTGTTGGGGAATCAATGTAATCTTTTGAAGCTCTCATTATGGAATTGGTCTTGCACTTAATCTAGACTTATGCCTTTCTTTCCTCATTAGTTAGGGTTTTTCCTCTTTGCTCAATGCTTTGCTTTGTTTAACTCATTCAATGCATGATTATTGGTTTTGTCGTACGGGAACGTACGGGGAAGTCTAAGATCCGGGATTTCCCCAAGTATATTGTGCCTAAGCTTTCCTGTGCTAAAAAAACTAATTATTAGGAATGCTAGGATCGATGACTCGTATTAGGGAAAGCCTTCTTGAAAGGTAATTTAGAGAGTGGCATTAACAATGATGACTTGAATGTTTGATTCCTAAGATATATGAGGTGATAGACGAAATTGACGCCCACCACATATCATCAATAATATTTTCATTGAAAGTGTCTGTCTTTTGTTTTAGCCATTGATCAACCTCATGCATACATGTTTATTTTCGTCTTTTGTATATTACACTCCACTTATTTTGTTCTTAAGTCTTAGCTAATCAACAAATCACATAACTAAACTAGGCCGTGAGTCCTTGGGAAAAGATACTTGGTCCTTACCGAGTTTAATTACTTTGAACGATTCGGTCATACTTGCCGATTTGTTAAACAAGTTTTGTGACATCCATATTTTGGTTATCATAAATTTGTGCTCAGTATCCTCATTCACTCTACTATCCAATGTCAATAATCGTCTTTTGCCTTTTCATTTAACCACAATCACATAAATTCACAAGCTGCCTATCCCAAGGACTTTTTCATGGCTATATATATATAATGCAAATTTTAATTATTATTAATTTTTTAAATCATGTTGACCCATTATTCCATGAAGGGTTTTTTCTTGACCGCTTAGTATTAGACAATGTCCCATCAACATGAATTAATATACAACAGCGAGAAATGTTAATGCACCTGATAAGCTACCATTACACAAAGCCAATAAAAAAACATTACATGTGGAATTATCCATGTCTAACACTCCTAATATCATATGGTTTTGCCTTACTAATTTTGTTTGACCCATTCATTACCAATGACAATGGTGTTGACTTACCAATTTTCGTATTTCATTTTTTTCTTCTTAATAATTGTTTTTGTTCAATTGTCCTTATAAATAAAAATTTCACAATTCTTTTTTTCACATTCTGTTTTCAATATCTTTTTATTGATAGGAAATAAAGTTGAAAAATACAAAAAATTATTTTGTTGATTTAAATCACTTAAATTTCATTCTCATGATCTCTATTTGTAATAATTAAAACTATTCAAAAAAAAAATAAAAAGAAATAAAAGTATGGTAGAATAAGTAGGAATAGATTGTGAATATATTATTTTCTAATTACTACAGAGATATTGAAAATATTTGATCTTAATAATTTTTTATTTACAATAACCTCTTCCTGCTAAATGAACATTAATCATTTGTAGGACTCATTCGACTATAAAATTTGTGTGGCTTATATTATATCAAATTTGAGATTTATCAAACCTATACATATCATATATTTCATACTTGTATGTTCAAAATCTTTTCATTTTATAATTCTGTCATTTCACTTTGTTATTTTACTTATAATTATTATATGCAAATGAACAAAAGTATTTTCTGCAACATATTCAAAGATTGTAGATTACCAAAAAGCAAGGGAGCACAGCTCTAGGATTTAACACAACGAGTTCTTCAATCTCTGAGTGGTCTCTCATTTTCTTTACCAAAGAATCAAACCCAGTATGAGTGATTTCCTCAATCTCTTGTAGAGGATTATGGATTCTCCCAGCTATCACTCTGCACAGCATAACACATTTTCTCGTCACAGATTTGTTATTGGGTGAGCAAATTGAATGAATAGCTTTTGCACTGCTAGAAGAGGTGCAAACCCCAAGTGCACCATTAAATAGTTCTTGGTTGGAGTAAAAACCATGCTTCAGAATTTGACAGACACCACAGTGGTCTAAAGTGCAAAGGGTAGAAGAGGAAGCGTTTGAACCAAGTGAACATGCAAGTGTTGTGCCATGAAATCTGAGCAGTTCATTTCCATCAACCAAGCATCTCGGCTGCTCCTTTTCTAGGTTTTTGGCTTTCACCCTTACCAATTCCCTACATTCCTCATACCATGCAAACGTTTCTTGCTTGCTCTGCACTCTCATAACACATTCAATCTCTGTTGCATTGCTTTCCGTTAAGTTACCTTCGCATATTTGTTCGATGATCTTACTCGATGAATCTTCTCTCTCAAGTTGGATCACTGAACAAAATGTTTACAGCTTACGTGTTTAACTGTTTTTTAACGTTCTCAATATAACACTTAATATGGCTTTAATACCAGATAATTTATCTACCAACAGAAAAATATGTTTAACATGGGAATTTATTCAACATTTTTAAAATATTATATTTTCACAAAGTGAATAAAAAGTTATAACTTATTGACTGTTAAGATAAAAACAATTCAAAATCAGTCAGAGTTTAGTCAATAGATTTTAATGTACATATTTCCATAAGCAACCTATAAAATAAATAAATAAATAAAAACTTCACAATAATATTTATAAACAGACATATATAAAGAAGGACATACTCCAACATATATATTTAAGAGAATTATTTTTCTTAACATTTCATTTTCTTTTAATCTAACTCTAAAAGAAAAACCATAATATTTTTTTTCATTGAAAAGCAAGAAACCTAAACCAGATACAGTGTCAAGAGAATGTTCAATCCCTGCCAAAGTTACAAAAGTGACATCAATATTCTTCCAAATCTTCCAAAGATTCTCACATGAAACTATATGATTAAATAGTCAAACTAGTGTAAAATTGTTCCATGAGAATTGGTCAAAAACTATATACATATAAACACTCATTCATTTTGCTAGAAAAAGTACTGATCTTACCTGAATGTAGATGGAAATTTCCCTGTTCTTCAACAGTGTCACTAGATTTGATTTTGTCTTCACATTCACGATGACGTGCTGATATTGGGGGATCATTAGAATCTTTCACTGGAACCTTTTTCTTTGAGAAAACAACACATTCATCACAATCAACACAAAGTGTTTCTGATGAAACTATAGTTAGCTTGGATTTTGCTGGAGAATGAGAAGGAGGTTCTTCTGTAGGATAACATGGAAAAATCTTAATCTCACCACTATATCTATCAAGGAAAATTTCATGGCTAAGTTGGTGTTTTGACTGTCTTTTATTTCTCTCATCCTTTTTTCTCTGATCTATTCTTTTTGCCTGGGGATCATGAACTTCTGATGAATGAGATCTGCAATGAAGTGATTTCTTCAGAACATGCCAAATCTCTGACATTCTCTTGCTGTTCTCTTTCTCACATGTCAAAGATTCATTACCAATGTTTTTATCTTGCTAAGGTAAGTAAACATTCAAGGAAAAAGAATCATTATTTTGTTTTTCTTTGTATCACATAATATCGACCAGATTGTTTTCCTTGTTTGCAGCATTCACAAATGGGAGGAAATTCATGGAGTACAGATTTTTTAACACTGCCAGCTTTCTATAGAAGAACACAAATACTGTCAACCTTCTCATTTATTTATTATTTAAACAGTAGAGATTTTCCTTTATTTGAAACGTTCTGTTTTTCTATATAATCATAAAATGAAATATTTGTTTGGCTTACACCATAAAAAGAATATGAGTCCATGAAAATATTTTTTGAAAGAAAATAATCCGTGCACGGGCATTATAAACTGATTGTACTTTAAACTAATTAAAATATATATATATATATCTTATACACAGTCTACTGAAAGAAAAATAGAGGAAAACTTTAAATATTTTTTTATCAACAAAAAATATATATTTATTTCAGTATAATAAAGTATTTGGGATAATCTAAGTCACATATATTATATGTTCCAGTTATTATGAAGAAGATCAGCAGGGAGATACCCAATCAACAAATACCTTCTAGAAGGATTCCTAAAATACTCATATGTTTACATAATAGCTAACAATACCTAATTCAGCATTTGGCTTTCAAATCTTTGTGAAATGTTTCCGATTATAGAATCGATTATAGGGTCAAGGTTTTATTTTCATGAAAAAATCATCCTTTTATAGGTATCTGTCCGCACGAATGGCACATCTCTTTTTTCTTGAAGAGTGTTGAGCTTCATCTTTAGTTGGTCGTCGTTAAGGTTCATCTTGGACTTGTCTCCTAAGCGAAGTTTTACCAACTTTCACTGACAACATGACATAAGTACCATTTATGAGGTTAAATAGTGTTTTCCCATGGTGTAGTGTGGTGAGCAACAGTAAGCCTACAAGATCTATGGTAACTCATCCATCCAGACGCCTTTTGATTCATCCAAACGTTACTTCAACTTGGCCATGATGTTCTTGTTGACTGCTTTAGCTTGATCCTTCATTTGAAGATGCTCCATAGAGTTAGTGACGTCATCCTTCCAATCTTTCTATTCGGACACAGATGCGGTCAAGCACTCCATCTTTTGTATAAAACTCAAGGAAAAATAATGGAAATTAAAAAAATAAAATAAATTAGTTTTTAATTTTAATTATGCTTAGTTGGGTGTTAGGTTGTTGGTGAATAAATAAATTAAATTATAGTTTTCATTATTTATTATTTTAATAAAAATATGGTTGGATTGTATGATTTAAATAGGTAACTTTGTATATAAATTTAAGCGAAATGGAAGTGGTCTAGTGGTTGATGTGTGTGTGCATATTGTTGATAGGAGGAGTTATACTCACCTATATATCTAATGTTTTTTTATGATGAATAAGAATGGTTTTATGGTTTCTTGCACAACAAATGACATAACAATTGATTTATCCTTATTGTGTTTGTGTTTGTGCTTGAGATGTGTGATATATGTATTCATTGTTTGTAAATGAATCATGAGTTTAAACAGATTGCACATTATATTTCTGGTAGAAATAATCGATTAGACAATGTATACTACAAGAAATGCGCTGATTACCGAAGAATTATTACCAAAGGTCTTTTGGTCGTCGGTAAAATTGATATACCGAAGGATTTCCCGACGGTCATTTAAGTTGGTCATTACCGAAGGCTTTTGCCCTTCGGTATTGGTCAACGGATTTACCGAAGGCTTTTGGTCGTCGATATAAGCATTCACTTAATGAAATCAGAATTTGGGATTTCCCTCTTCCATTTTCCCAAATATTGTCCGCAAAAGCTTCCCTCAAACTTTCACTCCCAATTTGTCAGGTCCCCGCTTTCCAGTCTCCCCTGCCTTAATCTCTATCTTCCTTTGTTGTTCACAATCTGAAACCATCATTTCCATTGTTTCTCACTTTGTCGGGCTCCTCTTTCTTTACGACGGTGGTTTGGCGGAGTCAGGAGGTGTTGTCGCTACGTCATGGTTGGTGTCGCGACGTGGGCAAAGCTTCTAGTTGCTGAGGGAGGCTAATTCAGGGGTTGTGTGACGAAGTGGCTTTCGTTGCGTGAGAAGGGCTGCGCGAGAGAGGGTATCAGAGGGTTGTCGCTGTCGTAGAGGTAAGTTATTACTTCAAATTATTGCTTCAAATTATGTACCTTTTGGTGGCTGCCCTCTTTGTGATGCATGTGTGAGTTAACTTGTATATGTGTATTGATTTTGGTTCACATTGGAGATTTTGCTTAACACTAAATATCATTGGAAAATGATTGCAATTGTAGTGGTGCGTCGAAGGTCGAGTGAAGCGCACTCTAGGGCAAAAGTGTGGTTTTAGGAGGTTGTCTTTGTCTAGGGAGGTTGTAGTGTGGAGGTAAGCTCTTTGTCTCTGAATGAAGTGAGCAGTGGTGTAGAATTATGGTTAAATGTTGAATAAAAATGTGGTTATATTAGTAAAAGAATGAGATTGTATTATTATAGTGCTTTGAGTTCATCTTAGGAATTACATTGCTTGTATTAGTGATCCTTGTTTGGGAATGATTGAAACCACAGACTACTATGGTCATATTAGGTTGAATGCTATTTTTTCTTATATTCCAAGCTATGTTGCATGTGTGAAATGTAGTGTTATGGCCAGATTGCTAAAGGGTACGAAGCTTTTAAATGTATTAAAGTCCTGGACCTTTGATTCAGTTTTGCTTGAGTATATTAGAATGAATGTTGTTGTTGTGAAACCGGTCATGATATCATGGTATGTGTGCACGTGATATAGGTTGACTAACTTAAATCTATCCAGAGTACGGGAGCTAATTTATATGTGGATTGTATGATGCTTTGTCATGTTTGTTCTGCTATGTTAGTCCTTTCCTTTTGTTCTATGGCATCTCACTTCTTTGTATGCTTAACTGAATGAGTGCTTAACCCAAGAATGCATCTCCACCACTGATCAACACAAAAATGCCTTTGATTTAAGTACTTCGTTAGTTGTTCCCTGTCTTGTTGATTCGTTTTCCAATTTTAACTATTTGCTTTAACCTATATAAAGGTTTAACTGATCATTTAGAAACCAAAAGACACATGAATGTGAATGCAATATGTTTTGAGTTTAATCCATTCATATTAGGCATTTTACAACTAAATATGCATTCATATAGTTCATTTGTACATTGAATTTTAAAATCTGAAATAATGTTTGATTTTAGAGTTGTAAAACTGTCCAACTTAGCTTTACATATAGGAATAAATAATTTCTGCATCTTATTCTACTTATTAATTACATGTCAATGTGTGTTAGGTTTGTTTGCCAAAGATCAAGTGAAGGTAGGGCTGGTACTAGGGTAGATCTTGAACACGAAATCAAAGAAGAAGAAGGTTAGAAAATCTATCACTCAAGGTTCACTTTAACATACCCCCTTTCGATATTTGTATACTTTAAATGCACTTGATTGAATATGATTGCTAGGTTTTGTGAACCTTGGTTGACCATATGTTTCATTTTAAGTTTGATCATGATGCTTGATGAATGGAAGGTGTATACGCTTTATTTTGTATTGTTTAAGCATGTTTTGGTGGTTATTTTTGTAGGCTGAATATGTTGGTTGTAGATGAATACAAATGTTACACAATTAAAAGAACATAGCAAAAGACATTCATGTGATACAATACAAATACATGAAGTAAATAATACTAAAGACTAGATAGAAAGTACCATATTTGACAGAAGATCATTTTGTTCCAGCTTTTTCTCTCATTTGTCAATGATTCACAAACTGTTTCAACCATCAACTCAGTCACATATGCCTCTTTTTCAATGATACCCCCACACTTGAACTCAACAATGTCCCATAACACACAACCTACTTTACCTCAGAACTCTAAGACGTGGTATAATCTGGTTTTACAGGTCCAAGGCTGATGACAATGGACTTGAAAATCTAAATAAAAATCTAAATAAAAACCTAAAGCAGGCTCAAAAATTGGTGCTAGGGAAAATTTTCCAAGGTAGGCTATATTTGGCAAGTGACTTAATTCAAAGAGGGCCTAGATCAAATCAAGAATTCACATCAAATGATCAGTTATGAAGAGAAATAATGCAAGGCCTAGAATGTCATTTTCATGAATGCACACACAAGAAAAACTGAAGTTCAAATCTCTCAAGGTTCACTTTTGTCAAAATTGTTCTTTGGAACTGATTCATCATGTAAAAATCACTTAATTCAATGTATGAAACTTTACAAACATGACTAAAAATTATGCACTCAAGTTAGACACTCTATCTATCATCTACAAATTAAGAGTTAAGCTAGCAAAATGAGAAATGTGCAAATCTGCAAAAACTAGTAAAAATAGAGGTAAAATTTATTCAATGAACTTTAAAATGACTAAAGAAAGCTAGAAACAAACTCAAATTAAATTGTCCAATAACAAAATTTTACTACTCAACCTAAAAAGCACTCTAAAACTAGGTTAAAGAAGCTAAAAGTAAGAACTAAACTAAAANAAGACGTGGTATAATCTGGTTTTACAGGTCCAAGGCTGATGACAATGGACTTGAAAATCTAAATAAAAATCTAAATAAAAACCTAAAGCAGGCTCAAAAATTGGTGCTAGGGAAAATTTTCCAAGGTAGGCTATATTTGGCAAGTGACTTAATTCAAAGAGGGCCTAGATCAAATCAAGAATTCACATCAAATGATCAGTTATGAAGAGAAATAATGCAAGGCCTAGAATGTCATTTTCATGAATGCACACACAAGAAAAACTGAAGTTCAAATCTCTCAAGGTTCACTTTTGTCAAAATTGTTCTTTACAACTGATTCATCATGTAAAAATCACTTAATTCAATGTATGAAATTGTACAAACATGACTAAAACTTATGCACTCAAGTTAGACACTCTATCTATCATCTACAAATTAAGAGCTAAGCTAGCAAAATGAGAAATGTGCAAATATGCAAAAACTAGTAAAAACAGAGGTAAAATTTATTCAAGGAACTTTAAAATGACTAAAGAAAGCTAGAAACTAATTCAAATTAAATTTTACATTAAACTCAAAATTTTACTACTCAACCTACAAAAACACTCTAAAACTAGGTTAAAGAAGCTAAAAGTAAGAACTAAACTAAAACAGAAAGAATACCAATAAAGAAACTACCTAAGCAAGTCTTAAATGACTAAAGAAAACTAAAGAACACTTCAAAAGTCACTCATTGTAAGAGATTCTAAAACTCACTAGTGAAAGCCTAAAAAGTATGCTAAACTAGTTTTAAAATGAGGATTATACTAAACTGATATGTAGAATTGTTAAGAGACTTTGTAAACAACTTTTAAATGGTAATGATTTTAAATGGGGTTTTATGTTGTAATTAATTTGTGTTATGATTTATTTTCGGTTAATTTTTAAGACTGGTTCAAATTGGATTTTTACAATGATGTCCTTCCTCCTAATTATGAACTCTAAAAGTTAGCATGTTAGGTTCCAAAAAAAGTGGGCCTTAAAATGAGATTACTAAGTGTAAAAAATTTAAATTCATTAAAAAAAATTGAGGAAAAATAGTGGTGATAAATGGTAGATAGGAAGAGGAGAAACAAATGATTAATAAAAACATACAATTAATAGTTAAAGAATTGCATGAACCTCACTAGGAAACAATAAATTGAGAGTAACAAAGAAGTTAGATGGCTAAATGTTAAACTGTGTTTGCGTAAGTCCATTTAATAACTCAACAGTTCAGAAATAAAATGCCAAATTGGGTGGATCAGCCTACTAGGCCGTCATTCGCCCTGTTGCGAGACGGGTTCCATTCTCTATCCCTTTCTCAAGTCTTGAGCCAGCCCGACTCGACCCATTTTTGGCAAGCCAACGGCAAGTCGAGATAAAATGGATAGGGTTGGCCCGATTTGCCACCCATAGTTGTAACTATAACCGACATACAAAATAGTCTACCTTCTTAGGAAATTGCCACCATTTCCACTTTTTGTGCCAGTTCTAATTATTTGACGTTTGTTATAGGAGAACTTGAGAAAAAAAGAAAAGTGAATTGGGAGGAGAATGTTTGTAACTTTTTAAAATATACTAAGAGAATGATGATGGATGAAAACCTTACTTGTAATAGTTTGTGTATAGATATAAATGGTAGATGAAGAGGGTGACGATGAGGTGTGAGATTTAATGTCTAGATAGGAGTTATGTTTGTTAGACTTGAATGACAGTAAGTAGAAGAAGATGTGTCTTAGAAATAGAGTGAAGAGTTTAGGGGAGAAGAGATGTGTGTTTTAGAATTAAGTGAATAGGGTTTTCTTTGTAAGTGAAAATATGTGTGTATTTATAGAGTTATGAGTAGAGTAAGTGTATGAAGAAAAATAATATAAAAAGTGGGTGAAAAAATTAGATGAAAAAAGTGGATGGAAGAAATAAATAAAAAAACTAATGGAGAAATTAGGTGGAGAAAAGTAATATAAAAGGTGAATAGAGAAATTGGATGAAGAAAATGAATGAAATAAATATTATGAATATCAAGAAAATAAATTTATGTACACATTATGAATGTATAATGTATTTACAATGTATTATGTATTTTGATGCATGGAGAAAATTCCTAAAAGTCAATAGTATGATCAAAACATTTTTACTATCACAAGGTAAAAGAAAAAAAAAGGAAAAATTATGAGTTTGATTTTCATTATTTTTTTATATATCGTAATTATTTTTTTCAATTTTGAAGTCTTTTTCCAATTTTGAAGATTTTTTAAAAAAAACTTGTTGACGATATTATCAGTAGTAGTGACAGGAATTGTAGACATAGTGAAATATTTTGTTATAAGAGGAGCGCTCCACCATTTTGGCTGACACTTTGCATTCTTCAGTGATTGTGAGATCTGAGCGTTATAAGTCTTTGTTGAAGCTTTGA